TTGTTTATATTAATAAATAAAGTGTCAGTACCTCATGTCCATCATAAGTCCAACTGCCAAACTTCATTAGACACGATTGTTCATCAAATGGGAAGTACTCGACATCTATTTTACAGGTAGACTTGTAGAGAGCCGGTGGGTTCCATACGACTAATCCGGTGTGATATACAGTAGCCTTAGTCATGAGAGTCACCTCATAGTTGCCGTCGGCGTTATTGAACAGAACTATATCTGTATTGCATTTCACAAATTGTTATCATTGTTTAGTTCATTATACACAACACTCATCAAAGTAATGTCAATAATTCAATAATTAGTTTCTTATTACTAAAGTATTACAATTAAAAATATTATCATAATTCGAGAGTTGATAATATAAAGATATACTGTATTTTCTATAAGTGTATCATTTTATAAATCAATATAACTCTATCGCCTAATGTCAACATAACCTAACAATATTTTATTAAAATGGAAACTGAGCTGAAACATTTGATATAATTTCCATTATAAATTCTTATATTATAATTTGAAATATACATGTATGTATTTATTGAACATTAAGATCAAATCAAACCTGGTAACCATATATTCTCAGCCGGCACATGAATCATATCTACTCCACCATAATCTGTAGGTTTCCACATAAGATTATAGTCGTACCAATTCTGTATCAATTATTTTGATAAAATTAAATTTTAATAAATCAAAACACTTAAACGAAAAAATGGTTTTAAAATTAATTACCTGTTCGAGCCATAAGTTTGTTGTCATCACTTGTTGTTTAAGATTCTATAAATTATACAAATAGTAATATATTGATTTTACATTTATATAGCTTTAAGATTTGTCAATCGATTACTAGATTACTAGATGAGAGAAAAATAAGAATTCAAAAATGTCTTACAATATCAATGAGTTGAGACAATTTAAGGCCAATATTAACGGTTAATTTGTAGGAATGATTTTTTGACGGCCTAATAAGCCTATTATCTATAATGATAAGTTAGAATAAAAATGAATTTATAGGTAAAGTTTGTATAAAAAATAAGCAAACTTACAGTCAGATAGCAAATCATCATAGAGTCGTTTGGCTGCGGGATGTGTGACCACATGATTGATGCCAAACGTGTAGAGGACAGCGATTGGAAGCAATAGATTGTGAAGATATTGTCGATGAGAATGAATTGAAATGAGAAACATTTGAAGAGAATATTCTTTGCTAATATTTAAACTTAATTCTAGATTAGAGAGAGCAGTGAACTAACAGTGCATTTATTGTATAGTGCAGTGATGTTGGAGTCGCTCAGCGCTACCAGTGCTTCGTTGGTGTACCGGAATGTTAGTCTCATTTACTACAGTCTAGTATTGCATTTGCGCCCCAATTCTCCTCATCCTAGCCGTGAACAGAGAATTGGAGGATCACTGCCTTAGTTACGAGATGTGGATGCATTGCATTCACTGTTGCTATGACTCCATCAACACATCCATAAACTAAACGATTCTTTTGTAATGAAAATTCCCTTCTCTTGTACTTAAAACATCTCTTTAGACGACAAATATTGGCTCAAAATTTACTATTCTTTTAATGAATTGAAAGAAAACTGAGTTTTGAGTGCAACTAAACACTCACTAAAACTCCACTCATCTCTCAAATGAAACACAGATCCAGAGGAAGGCACGCATCCAAACACATCCAATACATCCAATGCTTATTCCATGTAATCTTTTCCATATAAGTTGATCGGCGAAGCATTTCTTGGTTGAAAAATATTTTAAATAATACATTATATTTTGTTTACAAATAGTT